AGAATGCCGTTCTGTTGTTTTCTTTTGTACACTCGGAACCTTGCTTCCATAAATTGTGAATGCGGATGAAGCCGTTGGCATCTTCTGTTGGACCGTCCATTGAGACCTAGCAATTGATATCCAGCAAAGGACCGCGAACGTTCTTCTGAAAGATGACGAAAAGCACGCGGTAATGGGATCCTGTTTTACGGGGGATTTACGGACGCGGGACACCAGCAGATGGTCCACTGTATGGAAACAATGCTCCATTCCGCTACTCAGGAGATCTATCTCACATTTGATTGGTTTAGAGGGTATGGACTTGGATAAAAGGTCTCAGGTTGTTCGAGTTTTTCCTTTTGAAAGAACAAACTGTCCTGAAACATGCTGTGACGCAGCTGGACCAGTGGATTATTATATCGAAGGAAAGCACAATGTGGTCACTCTTGCCCAAAGGACAATGCTATTGAATTTTGTCTGTCATCTGTTATGACAAGGCCGAGAAATGAAGGGGCTTGCATGTTTCTGAATCTGGTTGGGCTTGTGACGTGCTGAGACCAAGGCAGCTCTGTGACCGGGTTGACTAGTAGCATTCCAAATGTACTGAACGAGGCGCGAAGTCTACGTCCATCTATTCCCGGTATGTTGAAGTCTCCAGTTATCAGGAGATGGGCATTGGGGCGAATGGATCTTCATCTATTCAGTTGTTCTATCAGAAGTTGTGATTCTATCTCACCACAAGAGGGCGAGGGGTAGACTAATTTTGATGGTTTTCAACAGCTTTTGTACACACCACTTTACTTATTCCATTATCTTTCTTTTCTTATCTCTTCTTTCTCTTTTATGAACTCAACGTTTAATAAATAGTTGTTTTAACCGGCCTCCTTATTACCCGCTCGATATCTTTGTGTTCTAGCTCTGTGATTTGCTCAAATTGTTTGTCGTTCTGTAGCTGGGACGTACGACGGTTTCGTAAGTCACAAATATGTATTGATGTATGCCTATAAGAGAAACAAAATTTGCCGTTACAAAACCTCGGTCAAATTACGTTCGGTTAGCTCATCTACATTCTTCTTTGTCCTCAGTATTTGGTTTCTAAATTGAATTTAATGTCGTGCCGACCCGGTCAAGCAGCCTCAGTCAGACTATCCTCCTCCGGAGCGAAAGAAGGTAAAGAAACCACCATCGTCAAGGGCTCCAGTGCTGCGCCATACTTGGGAGGATCACACCGCAGCACAAGGTCGGCAATGAAAAAAGCAGAAGTGGAACTTCGGTTCTTGGGGGATAGACACAGATTAGAATGTGAGGTTAAGGAAGACATCTTCCGACAACAACTGTGCGAGGCCGAAGCTAAGGTGACTCTTGCAGAGATTAAGTGCATTAGCA